TTTACTCCTGCTGTGTGCCTGCCAAGAGGCAGCACTTCCCAGACTTGGCACCGGGCCTTGCCAGCCCCTACACCAACCCATTCCAGTCTGGCTGCCAATGCTCTCCATCCCTTGCTTTCCCTGAACACATCCTCGGGTAGATGCTCCACGAGACACTGCTATCTCTATGAAGACATCCACTGTCTTGTTCCACGTTTTTGTCAGTCTCCTCCAGCTTCACTCCTCCTCCACCTTTCAAAACAAGAAGTCTTATAAGTAGGAAAAGGTTGTTTGGCAAGTTAAACTCGACTTTAAACAGAGGGCTACGGAAAAAAAACGGAATATAAAGCACAAGCATATAGCACTGCATTTAGATCACTCTCTAATTGCCTTGTCTTTGCAATTCAGCAAGCCTTACTCTGCACATCAGATTGTGCACAGGAAAGTTTGGAGATAAATGCTAAGCTTGAAAACTGGGGTTTCATGCTCTTAGAAGGCGGATTCCCTGCTGCATGCCCCCAGGGCTGAAGGCTGTCCCATTTCTTCAGATTACATCGGAAGCACACCTTTCCTCCTCCATCTGCAACCTCCTAGTTTTGCACAGCTTGCTGTCAGCACCAAACCCACTCTAAGCTACACACAATGCATTTTGCAGCCCAATCAGGTGGGAGACCCATCTAACTCAGTGCCGCACTTCATGAGTGCAGTGGCCATGGGCTTGTGCTCCACACTTCAAGGCTTCAGTGCTCTGTCCCACCAGGGACTCCTCTCCCAGTTTTCCAGCTGTTAGGGACAGCAATCACCAGCAGTTCCACCATGCTCCCACCTTGACTGGTATTGGACTGGTTTCTGGCACTTCAGTCTCCATGAACATTTGCAGCGCATCTTTTTCACTTGCTCCAGATCCACTTTCTGAGGTGGCTTTCTATACATAATCTCTTTAATTTACACACAAGTGCACATTGCACACATCATCTGAAGCCTTTTGATTAGCCTCTTCTTAATTACCTTTTCCACAGCACTCACTCACCAGCAAAGTAGGAAAAAAGAGGAAGATGCAAATATATAACATTGGGCTCAATGTCTGCCCTCTGTAATTCGTACCTCTAGACAGTTCCCCAGGATGTATATCCTTCGGCAGGCAAAATGCTTTCTTCTCAGTCTCACTTCAGATACTCTGATTCTAAAAAAAGAAATCTCATTTTTCTTTTAATTAACAGTAGTTTCCTCATCCACCTTTTCATTTGAATAATAAGATAAAGATCTTCAGTCCTGGAAAGGTTTAATGCAACCTCCCCAGGATCCCCAAAAGCCACACTTCTTTGAAAAAAATTAGTCTTGAGGACTTGGGATATTGAAAGACAGGTTTGACAACTGTTAGATGATAGAGCCAATTCTGCTTGAGTTGGGGAGAATTAGTTGACATATTAAGGTCTATTCCACTCCTATCCTTTTATGAGTCTATTATTATATATAATTAAAGATGAGCAGAAACCATATTTCTCCAGTGGCATTTCCCAGCTTTTAAGCATTTGCAGTCTTAAGAATGTTCTTTTAAGGTTGTTTTTTTCTTTTTTTTTTGCACATATGGATATGCTTCATGCACTAAAGAGAAATAAAGTCAGTTGAATACTGTCCTACAAGCATTCCTGCTGTGATGGAAGCGCTGGTCCTGGATGCTATTGGCCACTGCTTGGAAAAAAAGGAGCCTCACTAAGCCTGTTGATGCCCAGTAACCTCACAGTCCAGCAGCCATATCCCATTGTAAGCGCTGCCTTTGGCAGGGAAGCAGTTAACAAAACATTTTTGTTCATGTGAAAATATAAAGCAGCTGCTTAGTTTTACACTTGGCAGAAGAAGGCAGCCCCCTCTGCACTCCTTGTCTTCTGCTGCTCTTGGATCATTGCAGAGTTAACCAGCTGTTGCATTCTGCATGCCAGTTACACCAGTTCGGAAAAGCAAGAACAGGGGTAGTTTTATGGCCATACAAAAGGAATGAGAATAATACACTGCTGAACCAGAAAGGACAATATTTATACAGTAAACATTTTCGGAAACATAATGATCCCTTTGTCATCAAAATTTTGGAGTGGTTAATAGTGCACACAAGAAGTGCACCAAATCCACATGCTCCATAGCAGCTAATATGTTCCCAAAGCATCTATTCACTGCAGATCTCGTCATCTGCAAAGCCCTTCCTGCAGAAGACCTCACAACATAGGGCAGTCAAATGCATATACGCTTCTGAAAATATCACTGTGTGCATGAAATGCCTCATTTTTTATGTCTGTCAAATTACAACCTGGATGATTTTTTTCCCCAAAATTTAAAATGACAGATTAAACCAAACATTAAGGATTTATGGCAAAAAAAAAAAGTCATAGTAGCTCCGTGCACACTTAGCAGGTACTGGGGAATGAATTACAATTTGGTCTTGATGTACGGTGGACACGCTTGCAAATATGAAGAATTCACACACTTGGGATTTTCGCTTAGAAGTGACACTTCCTGTACACAGAAGCTCACGCTAAAATTTAGTCCGTATAAACTGGCCTCCTCTATTTCATTATTTTAAGTGAGTTTCCAATAAGCATAATGTAGGAGTTAAAAATAACAAACGCCGTAGCAAGCATTGCTGTTTGACCTCCTGGTGGATTAGCCCAGCCTCCCAGTCTCCTTGGACAGCGCTGACACAAACTCAAATCAACAGAACAACACTTGTTTCTTTCCTTCTTCTTTGTGCCTTGGTACTCTCACCTTTCCACCTTCTGCTGTCTGCGATAAGCTGGCCCTAAAACCCAAGTTCATTTCCCATCCCCTGTGACACCAAGTGCAATACCAACCAGAGATCCGCTCCCTCTCTTCCAATTTCTGGACTTGCCTTGAAGCTGAAGTTCTAGGAGTAGATTTCCTGTTTGATTTTTCTTGGATCTGCAACTCCTAGCAATGTGTGCCAGTAGCACAAGTCCTCGGTGGCCACCTCATGAATTTCTAAAATTGAGTTTTTTTAATGCAAAATAAAAATCTTAGAATGCGAAACTCAGCCAAACGTAAAAAGAACAGTAAATGCCATTTGAGCAAATGATTCTTGAAAGAAGAGGTGAAAGATTTTCACACAAGACCTTGAAATTTCTGAAACATTTATCTCAACAGATGTTTCTATTTTAAAAACTTACCTAAAAAAATCACATGGCAACATTAGCTGTAAATAATACAATGATGATATTCAGTCAATAGAGAAATTCAGAAAATAACTGTTTCAGCATTTGACTGTTATTTCCTATCTAAAAAACAGTGTTCGTGTTCCGAATGATAAAATCACTTTCAAATAAGAAACAAAGCTTTCTGTATGGAAGTGCTGAAAAGTCCCACTTCAGATTTCTTCCAGAAATCCAAATTTCTTCCATAATTCCTCCAAATCTGAGAATTCATTGAGACCAAAGGATCTGGCTCGATTTCACTGAGGATGCAACGTGTAATGTCACAGAGTCCTTCACCAGCAGCAAAAATCTTCATCAGAGAAAAGTCTTTTCTTCATGTATAGATCAGGGAGCGAGCTCAGCGAACATAATGACATCTGCTGCATGGCTGCCTACCCTGGTTATTTTTTTTAAACCTCCTATAAATGCAGAGTTTGGAAAACTCACTTGTCTTCCAAGCAGCTTTTCCAGCACCTTTCTTCCTCGTGCAGCCCAGGACATGTTGCGACCTAGGGAACAACGTTTCTGGAGGATACCTGCAGCACTATGCCAGAGTAACTCCTGGGAGTGCCACATTCAGGCAGGATTAGATCACTGTGATGAGTGCTGGGTACAGAGTGATGCTCGCGGGCGAGCTATTATTTGCAGTATGTAGGCTAGTGGCTTCTTAGATCAGGCGTCCCACCTCCAGTGGAGCAGTTTTATCTCCGTGATGGAGAGAACTGTTACTGTTAGTTAGTGGTGTGTGGGATTCGTGTTAATGTGCAGAAACTGAGTTAGCAACACAATGACAGCACCAGGCTGTTATTAATTGTTTGCTGGATGGCTTTGGTATCCCAGTCTGTCTGCGACTGGAGAGCTTTGGTTCTCCCACTGACAACAGCTCTGCCTTTGCCAGCAGTGCACTCCCTGTGGTGAGGGCACATGGGGAAGGGCTGTCCCTCCCTGCACGAGTTTTCAACATCACTTTTCAAAAAGCACTCTCGCTTGCCACACAGCGAGTCCTTAAGTCTGGTTCTGTTTCCTGAGAACTGGGAAACAGGCTGACAATAGACTCCTTGCTTACACAGGGAGGATCTCGCTGAAAGCCTTGCTTTGCAGTTTTCCGTGCACTGGGTGAGCACAGAATCATTCGCTCCTATTTTACTGTGCTGGTTTTTTATATGTAAGAAATCTGCACTTCCGCTGGAGCTGGGACTTGCACATGTTTCTTTTACCCAAGGCTGGTGGTTATTCCATAGTTTGTCCTACTTTGACATGAGAAATTTTTCCCTTTAACTCTGAAAAAGCTTTTTTTTTTTTTTTTTCCTTCCTCAAAGAACTAGCATTTTCCAACCAAAAGACTTTTAATGACAAAATTCCTGAATAGCTCTAATTATACCCTGGGGCTCAGTCCAAGGGAGAATATTGCTACCCTCTGTACAATAACAGCCTGGGTCCCACAGTGCATCCCTGGTCCCCAGGGCTCTGCAGGGGCTGCACACCGAGCTGGGTGCCTATGTGCTGCTCCTCTGACCACCCTGGGTAAATGAAACCCTGTGATTGAAGCAGGATGGAAAAATGGTTTAAAAGCAACCATTTTCCTGCACACAGCTAGAAAACAAAAGGACAATGGATGGGCTGCGCCCATCCCCAAAGGCACTGCCCAGAGCACCCCAAGCACTGCGAGAGGTCCAGCGTGGGCTGTCAATACCTGGTGCATCAGCCAGCTCTCCCACCAACTCCTAAAGCACGCTGCCGAGCTTTGGAGTTAGCTTTCTAATGAGGATAATTATTATTATTACATACACATATATATAAAAGCCCCAAATCCCCATGAGGTTTCTTCAGATTGTCCCAGAAAGAAAACATTTTCATTGTGTGGGCTGTGATTGGGAACACATGGACCCGCCACACCCCACTTCGTTCCCTGCTCTGCTACTAATTACAAGGGGAGCAGAGCCCAATGCAGAGGTTGTTTTGTTGTTTTTTTTTTTTTAATTCATTGGTTTTGGAGACTCAGCAATTGAATTACCTGAAGAGGCTGGAGCTTCTCTGGGGTACAATCAGTCATGCAGCATCTGGGTTAGGCCAGGGTGGGGAGAGATGGATAATATATACATGCTGGCAGCGTTATGCAGCCACCCAACTGGGGAAAAAAGAATTTCTCTTAATTAATGGCATGATGTATGACACGTTAGCAACACAAACTCTTTAATAAACCCCAATGCCTTCTTTTACAATTCAGACAAGATGAAAGCACCCCGGGTTACCTGTAGGAACCGAGTGTTCAGAAATGCTGGCAGAGCAGCTTGCGGTGAGGGCGCGTTAATAGCTGCGCACGGCGCTTTTGATTCTGGAGTCAGTTTTAGACAAAGCTGCCTTGAAGCACAGGAAGCAAGTTTCACTTTCAACTTTGCCCAAGGCTCTACCCAGAGATGAAGATATCGGGGAAGAGGAGTGAAATTTAATTTAATTAACTGTAACTCCCAACGGGACGAGTTTGGGAGGTTTGCTCAGAGGACGATTATCTGAACCAACTGAGCTGCAGTATTCACTTCCCAAGTTCCAGTTTAGGTTTTTGTTTGGCACATGACTGAGGAACAAACTGGTTGCAAAGTTCAGATTCACTCAAATTTGCCCAAAGTATATGGGTGCTCAGATCTGGCTCACGTCAAAAAAACATGTTTACAGTTACAATGAATTTGGCCTTCTCCCACACTTAAAGCTATTTATTTAAACCTCTCATTTTGGTCATGTCTTTTCCATCCTCTATTTCTTCCTCTGTTAGGTCAAAAAGTGAATAAATAGGTCAACTGCTCCATAAAAATGGAATACAGAGGAGATGTGGCTAGGTCTTGGACTCCAAAGCTCTAAATTAAGCACATTAGCAAAGACTGCTATGAATTACTATTTATTCTTAAGCACTTTGATGGTCTTTGTCCTCCTTGAAGACTAGTTTCTGGTTTAGACCAAGAAAGGAAAGGCAAAGGAAGTGCCCCAGCTCTTGGCAGCTGCAGAAATCCCTCACTCTGCTGAGATCCTGGAAGTGCTAAAACCTCAAAAACAGAGAGATGGGGGGGTAATAATGACAAATAATAATAATAAAAATAAAAAAAAAAACTCAGCAGGAAAAAAAAAAGTATGAATGGACAAGCCCACATCTGAGAGAAGGGAAACATCCAGGATTGAATAGGTGACAGCAAATTTCACAATACTTCCCGAACACGGCAACAAAAAGAGTTTAGGACTCTTCTGTAATAAATACATGGCAGCTTGTGTCCTTATGCTTTAAAAAAGGAAGGAAGGCAGAAATTTTCTGCCCTCTGACCCGAGATTGAGACCAGGCAGTAGCATGATGCTCTGACCACATCCTTAAGGTCTTTGTGGGGAGACACATAAGGGAAAACTCCAGGGACTCAAAACTCAGTGTAGGACTTTTTCTCCATATTACACACCACAAGCACATTACCTTTCTTCCATAGCTCTTCATAAAGGTGAGAAAGAATTTAAAAAAAAATCTCTCTGCATAAAAAATTGTATTCCCAAAAGAGCAAAGAAGACGAGTCTTGCTCCAAACATTTCTTCATTTTGTATAAAACTTTTTTCTTCTGTTTGAGAACCGTTTACTGTGGCCAATAAAAGCCCAGCTAATTTTTAAATCAGCATGTAGCCAACTCAGCCACCCAGTAGCTCTGTCCTTGGGCAATATTATTGAAGCACACACAATCTATACTAAAGTGATCAGCTTCCCTCAGGCCTGCCAAGGGGATGCGTTAGGCGAGCCCAAAATATGACAGAAGGAAATTTATGTGCAACTTTTACACATAATATCTCATTATGACTCTCCCCAATCTTTCAATTTTAAAAATAAACGGCCTTTGTAATGATTTTACCAGGAGCATGTTGGAAGGTAGATTGAAAAAGGAAAGTGGCTTTGGCTACAGTTATTTCTTTTGCTCTTCTCCTCCTCTTGGGTTTTTCTTTAATTTTCCTGAAGATATTTCCACTCAATTTAGGAAGAAATGGAATTTCCCCCTCCCTACCTCCATTCTCACACTGTTTTGTCCATGTTTTCAAAGAACGGAATGGCTGACATAATGAAGCCTCTGTCAATAGCAAAATCATTTTGACTGGTTGGTAAATAATGAAAGTTTCCACTTAACGTGCAAGCCGGCTTACCCAGGACACACACACTTGGTCCCTGTCCAGGTCAGCAAATTGTCATCCCCTGCGCTGTGCACATCTCCGAGCATTGCCCTGCAGCAGTGAGAAACGAGAGCTCAGCTGGGACCTGAGCTGATGCTGCTTTGTCAGGAAGGGCGAGGGACTTGGGAGAGTTGGTTACACAACGATGCCAGCTGCTGTTCACAGCATCGAGCCCAAAAAGGAATTGAAAAAAGATGGAATAAAAGAATATGTACAAATAAGGAAGGGACAAGCAAGAAAACCAACCAACCAACAACAAAACCCAAAGAATAGTGATATCGATCTGCAAATAAACAATGGCCAGAGCAATTCTGTACAGCCCGGTTTGATGAGGAAAGGGCAATGCGGCACATTAGTCCTTCCCCACTGACATACCAATTGTCGCGTATGCTTTTCTAATGTTTCATTGTGGGTATCAGCAGGAATGACCTCATGCGCTATTCCTACTCCACAGACCACAGCTCGAGAAGCCACGGAAGGAACATATACCTGAAGTGAGAATCAGTTATAAGCATTTTTGGGAACGATCTCCTCTTAGGGGGTAAGAAAAACAAACGAAAGTGGGTTGTTCTCAAAGTGGAAAGCAGAATTGCTGCCAAAGTACACTGACTGGTGGAAAGAGCTTTCCCACTGCGGGCTGATGGGCAAAAGACCACTATCAGGCAGTGAGAACTGGGGCAAATGTAAAAATATCCTAATCTGTAAAAAAAAAAAAAAAGCCATTTTGCTGCTCCAGAGTACTGCAACTCCCCGTTGTACTGCAGCATATTTTGTTTATACCAAAGTCCCCAACAGTCTTCTTGTGAGACACAGGAGTTTATGCCTGTTCTCCTCCAGCTTGTTTCTTCCCCAGTCTAATGTCCATGCACTGGCAACCTGAGCACCCTATCGAGCTGTGGATGTCCCTGTTCATTGCAGGGGAGTTGGACTAGATGGCCTTTGGAGGTCCCTTCTGACTCAAAGGGACCGTTACACTGTTCAGTTCTCAGGAGTTTGTGAAACCAGCAACATAAGCACCAAAAATCCTGAAGAACCTTTTGGAGGTTCCTATTTCCTCCATCGATCCCCACACCCCTCCAGTGAGTCTGTCCATACCTGCCCCTATAGGGTCAGCAGGGCAATCTTGTCCTTTGGCTCACCTTCAGCTGTCTTCTCCCTGAGGACAGGGGCATGAATTAGTTCTGCAATTCTGGGCAGACCATGAGAAGTCTTGAAGCTGGATGCTGAAGTATGTAGGAAGAATGTATATATATATAGTAAATGGCCATGAAAAAAATAACATCAGAAAACAGAGAACGGAATAAAAAATACATTCTGGCAAGAAGATTGTGTATTTTTATTGTACTTATAATACAGTAATTCTATATTTGAAGGGATCATTTGATTTAGGTAGGACAAATTTCACTGCATTCATTCTCTGAGAGAAAGGCCAAGGTTAAAAGGCTGATGCTCAGGAGTCCATTCCATGCTACCCAGAACAAAACAACTGGAGGTGAAAACTGAACCAAGCTTTCCCCAGGGGGGATTTTACAAAATAACACAATTCTTATACTCATCCCAGCAAAGCTCTGAAGAAAATGGTATTTAACAGATGTAATCTTCCAATGAAGGGTTGAAACACAGCATGCCGAATACCTGGAAGTATCTAAAGGAGAAGTCAGAGCAAATGCTGGCCAATGAGGATTGCTTGTTGCAGCTTCACCATGATCCCTGATTGAGAAGGGAATGAACCAGCATTGTTGCTGTCAGTAACATTAAAAAAAAAAAAAACACACACTGGATAAACTTAGGAAAAAGGCAGAAAATCATTAGCCTGGGGGGTTGCTGAGGGTTTCTATTTCTTGAGAGACATAATGCAGCCAAAAGAATCCTCCGGGCCGTGGCTTCCCCCACTGTAAAATAGGTCCAAACCATCAGGTTAATGAGATTTCATTTGTTCTTAGGCACTGCTTCAAATTCAGCATCTGCTGTGGACACACAATGAGTATGACAGAACTTCAGTTTGAGCTCATTTTGAGTATCTCAGGCTGTGCACAAAACACATGGCAGGAAAACACCTGAACACTTAGCATCCAGGGTGGAACCTTGCAATTCCACTGATTGCAGTAAATACGTGTTTGTGTTATATTATAATTGCCCAGCTTTTAAATTAAACAGCACAACAATTAGCACGTGGCTGTTCTCCATATGCTTTAAACATCCCTCACATCACTAAGTGCTTTATATGGGAAATTCTTACACCTTTGTTTGAACGGATTTCAAGCAATCTGCCCCAAGTCTTTCCAAGCTTCTTACATCTTCAGGCACTGCCTTCGTTCTTTCACTGATCCCTGGGGAAATCCAAAGCTTGGGCTCATCCAAACTCACTTTTACTTCTGTAGAAGGAAAAGCTTTCCCTATTGAGTTCATACTGTGGAATTTATCCCTGCAGAAGTTGGGCTACCTTTAAAATATTGTTCAGGTAAGTTATAAAAACATGAAGATCCATTCATTTCTAAAGTTTGACTAGGAAGGTCCAAATTTAAGAGCATTAAAAGGGCAAGAGGCTGGGAGAAAGGGCAGAGAGAGTAGAGCACACCGTGTGGCTTTCAGTACCTTTTCTTTCCCTCTTCTGTCAGAAGCCTTGGGTCCCAGACCAGTGTCACACTTCTATCCCATCAGGTAGAGCACAGCAGAGATCCTGTCCAGCCACTTGGTCACAGCACGCCATTACCTAAGGCAGCCCAAAGTTCAGTGACTGCCTGTGGTTTCAAATCCCAGAACCCATAAAGCACAAATACAGGTTCTCTATGTGAGGCTGTGACCTCTCTGCTCACCAATAAAACATGCCCAAAGTCATAATAAACAAAGCATTACAATTCAGGGTGGCAAGGCATAAACCAGTCATACGTATTTTCTCCCTGGCCACAAGCAAATCTTTGCCTTTACCAAAAACTACCTCGGTGCACTAAGTTAGCAAAACAATTCTGATTACAACATAGGTTAAAAAAAATAAAGTCAAATAAACTTAACCTAAGGTTTCTCATGGGATGTTTTATGTTCTTGTTGTTGCAGAGCAGAATGAGGGCCAGAACAAACATGGAAGGGACACAAGTGTGATAATATAATGATACCTTTTATTAGCTCAAAGAAGAAAAAAAGAATAACAGAGCTTTGCATATATCAAAGGTCCTTTTTCTTCACTTTCAGGATGCAGAAAGGGAAAAACCACAGTTTGTGTATTCCTGACAATACTCATCTTGTTAGCAGCATGAACTCGTGTTGCAGGCTTTTCATTTCTCTGGATAGCCAGCAAAGGCGGGGAAGGGGAAAAAAGGAGTTGCTTTGTAGGAACCGAAGGAACTGACATCTGGTTATACAACAATCAAATTTTTTCAGGTCATACTTAACAGCATGAATAATAAACTGAAAAGAGTCGCTGGCTACTTTTGGTATAACAGTGTTGTTAGGCTGTTGTCTATGAGCTGCCTACGGAGCTGCAGCAGAGCACGCGGGGAAGGAGCAGGGACAGACTGACAGGAAATACTCATGCAGGATATGAAGGTGCTGAGATCACAGCCAAACAAAGACTGTGTGCTGCCGTACTTGTCGGTCTTCAAAGTACAAGGTGAAGAAGTTGGAGAAACAAACAAAAACATACAAAACAAACCCTCCACCAAAGCCAAGGAAAAGAAGTAGTACCCAGGAGATGAACCTGTGGATAAAAGAGATGTGCTGGCAGCCCACTGTCTGCTGGCTGTTACCAGGTGCAGCAGAGTTGATGCAGTGGATTAATGATTTCTTTTCCATCCTCTTACATCTTTTTCAGCCCCTGCCATCATTTATTACAGCATCCTTGCTTTGCTACTCAGGCTGACAGAAGGGGAATAAACTTTACCCTGCAGGCGTTTTCAGAAGAAATTATCTTTTCCCCAAGAATGGGATCCTAGATGTGGTAATAGCTATCTCTCCCAACAGTTCATGACACTTGTAGCAGATACTTTTTCCCTGGGTATTTCATATATGCCCACCTACATGTAGACAGATCGGTTCTACTGCGAACATCTGTTTTTCAACTGTCAGATAGTATTTTAGAGTGTTAGGCTGAAAAATATATTAAAAGATCTATCACTTACATTGATTCCAAAGCATTAAATTTTGACATCTTTGGTGCAGACAGACCGAGAAGCTTAAAATGGATTTATCATATGAGAAATAAATTAAGACCATTTCACCCTTTCAAATGGAATCTCAAGAACTTCCTCAAGGAACAATGGCATATTTTTTCAGTTGACTAAGACAACAGAGGGGTCTAATAAGATTAAAGGTGATTGGAAAGGAGGAGAAATCTCTAAAGGAGATTTCAGGACATAGGCAAAGTGAGATGGAGAGAGGGACCTTTCCTATCATTTAGCTCTCTTGTTAATACCCTCCCACCTTCACTTAGTGCAAACCTTATGTCCAATCACTTGCTTCCCTCAGTATTTGTGTGTATTTACATATAGCAGAAATGCAGTACGAGAAAGGATGAGGAGCCTAATGCAAGACTGGGAGGCAGCCAGCACAATATTGGTGGAACAAGAGAGAAACTGTCAGCTGAGCAGCTCCTTCAAAAGCTGGGGGTGGATGCTGCAAACATCTGAAAGGACAAAGAGGAAGGGAGATCAGCACAACATAGTGATTGCTGTGGCTCATAGAAAAGTCCCCACCTTATAGATAACTGGTTTGGAGCTGCAGCACTGGATTTGGTCCCACATCTATGTTAAGCAACGCGGATGAAATAAGATGATGCATTTTAGTAATTTTCTTTCCCCTCTCCTCCCCCCCATGCAACTCTGAAACAGAGGCACAAACGAAAAAGGACAGAAATGGGTATTTCTAGAAGGAGCAGTCACTGTGCTCCTAGTACGCAGGGCATCACTGGAGGAAGCCAAAGCACCAGAACATCCCACCCCAGCAGTGCTGTGCACCGCCGTGCTGAAATCCAGCACCAGGCCCCATCCCACTGAGCTCCAGCACGCTGGGATGAATCTTGATGAATTATAAAAGCAGCTCCAGAGAATTTGGGAAAGCTCCACAGCATCGCCTGGACCAGAGTGTAGGATGCATCTATGTGGTTTCAAAGGAGGAAAATTTTGCTGATGTTAGGTGAGCCTTTGTCAATTCAGAGATACTCAGACGTGAGCAGGGCAAGTGCCCACAGACCAAGAGCCAGCTTTTACAGTATGCCTTCTGGTCCAGGCCAGGGGAGGGAGAGAATCAGGCATGGGGTTGATCACCTCTATCATCCCAACAGCTTTATGACAGCAGCCAGCAGAGGTGACAGAACAGACCAAAGAGCTTTTGCTTTCCCCGACTGCTTTTCTGCATTTCTGTTGGTCTCCTTCCAACCACTGTGCAAGCTATTGTTGGTTGTGGTAATACACCAAATAAAAAATAGATCTTTTTAGGGTTACTTTAATGGATTGCACAGCTTTCATTAAAGATATACTCTGCCATTAAGGCAAGTATGAAAAAGATGGCCTCTTGCAGAAGACTTAGCACTGGTACATGAATACCCCAAGAATGCCAGGTTGCAAAGTACCTGCTTGAGAGATAGTCAGCATATGGGAAACTTTATGGGGCATAGACCACAGACATATTTTCTTTAACTTTTTAGCACAGCCAGTTTCATAGGACAAATGTTTCTGAAGACAAGGATGTTGCTTAGATTAGTCTGTCAGCAGCAGCTTTTGTAATGGCACTGGGCCTTTACCTAGGCCTAAATATAGATGTTGTTACTTTATACAGAAAACAGATTGGCAAATAAGGGGAAACAGTTTCATTATCAGGTTTTGTCTTTTTATTCTCTATCATAAAAGATACCAAATGTGTCAAGAATCTAGTTTGCCTGCCATCACATTGCTGCATTTGTGAAAGACATACCCCACTTAGATGACAGCCAAGATTGGCCTTGATCCAGGAAACGCAAAAAGAAAGGGAAATATATGAGTGATCTATACCACTATTTATTGTAGCAGCTCTGGGTCACTCCACAGGTCAAATATTTGCTTTATTGGATTATCAGCAAACACACGTATGCGTCACACACACTGAGCAGCTTCTTGTCTCTTTCGCTCTGGCTTATGGGCTAGATGGCAAGAACACTCCACTTCTTTCCCATGGCAGAGCATGGACAGACACCTTTGCCCCAGCACCTAAGTAGCCCTAAGTTCCTCACTGTGCCCTGTCCAATGCGATCCCATTAAATGCAATGGCAGCTTCGTTTCCCTTGCAGCAATGCACAGGGGTAACTGGACACCAGTCACCACCCCAGCTATGGAGATCAAAGGCAAACCTCCCCTCTCTGGAAGGAGTAGATGCCCTAAATCTCTGTCACTAGTGCAGCTCTTTAAGAGCACAGTAATTCTCCACCAAATTGAATCTTCTCTGACAATTGGCAGCACATCAGAGACAATTCACAGGCATATTTTTTCCCCTTTCCTAACAGGAAATAGGGCTTGTGTTACATTTACAGTGACCTGGAGCTCTGAGAGCAAAGTCATATCTCACCTAAACAAACAGACAGTATTTCTTCCCCGATTAAGGCAGATGGGCTGAAAGAGAGAAGCACTGTGGCCAGCTGCCCGCAGCAGCCCCACAGGTGTCAACAAGGTGCAAACCTGCAAACACCAACACAAACATCCCCAACACAGCCCAGACACGAACAGCACTTCAGAAGGTTTGGATCTTAGTTTTCATTATATCCAAATGATTTTTTTTTATTATTTCCCATGGACTTCTCCGTGGTTCGGGGTTCCACCGCTCAAGCCATGCTGGTAGGGCAAGGGATGCTTGACTTCCCTGCTTCTGCTAAACCCCTGCTTGGAGTCTGTGGAATTTTCCCAGGAGGTTCCCGCTTGCCTCTGTGGGGATAGGGAGACCATCTCAGGCTCCATTTGTAAGACAGGTAAACTCAAAACTGTGAAATGACTCCAAGTGACAACAGTTTGCAACAAATTCTTCAATGTCCGATTGATAGAAAACCTTCAGAAATTATGAATTACATGTTCTTGCTTGTAAGACAAATAGCATTCAGATACCATTTCACTTGGATTTCCCCCAAATATAGTACTGTATTTTTTGCCCATAAGCAATGCCCCATTTAGTCCTTGAAAACTCAGAGAAACAAGTCAACCCTGGTGGGGAAATCTACTGATTACAAAACTCCATACCATACACGCATCACACTAAATATGCACATGAAAAGCAGAAGTGAGAAATCCAGTTTCACTCCCATACACCCAAAACATCCAAGGCACCATAAAAATCTGCACCCTTCACAAAAAATCTGTATGTTTCATAAATATCTGTATGCTTCAGCTGCTTGCAGGCAATGTACTCCCAAAAACCCGACTCAGCTCAGCAGCACCCACTTCCCTGACACACAGGAGCTTTGCATTAGATCCTTGGTCTCCCCCACTGCACAAACTTTAGAGCTGAAGGCAGTAAAGTCTCTCAACCTCACAGATTTTCAGTTTTGCCAGACACCATGAAGAAGCAAAAACTCTGCAGCTTCTCTCCTGCAGGTCTTTGCCCCTGTGGTAATAATGGAGTCAGGCAACAGCTGAAAGTAAAGAAAAAGTGTATACTGGGCTTTTGAGAGTCAGCAAAAGCCTAGCTTTTTGGCAAAAGAAAAACAAACCCAAAACACAAACAAACCCACAGGACAGTGGAAGGAGAGAAGAAATCCAAAGCGGGATAAATGTCTTTAACAGAGATATTCTCTTAGGGAGCAGCAGAGCGACAGGCGAGGGAGCAATACTGCTGGAATGACTTGTTTTAAGCTGTTGTTTTGGCTTTGTCAACGCAACCACAAGTCTGATCACGTTAAGAACAGACCTCTCTCTCTCTCTCTCTGGCTATTTCCAGGAATCAGCCATCACCAGCTG